TCATCTATATACGATTAGAGTAACATTTGAAATTTTTCGAAATATTCTGAATTATATTTTTGAAAAGTCCATCAATTCTTTAACCGACCCTGTTCTACTCGGACTTCTATTTCATCAGATAAAAACTTGAAATTCAAATTATGTTTCTGAAACAGATCGAAAGATCAGTAACATGATTGACATTTAATGTACCGTTTAAACGGGGGGACTTTCCTGGAAAAAAAATACACATACGTTGGACAGAAGTTGTTTTGTTTTTACTGCACAAGATGGATAGCGAAATGTCAATGTTCTATTTATTATTTAAATTTCAATGTTTCCTTTCTCTATATTTACATCCGCGCTTAAACGTAACTGTTCTAACTTTGCTTCAACGCCTTATATGATGTTATATTTTTTCTGTATCGGGTGAATTGCAATACTATCTATGAAAATATTCACTTTTGGTCCCTGTAAATCATCTAGAATGTTAGTTAAGAACAAAGCATTTTGAAAGCATTATACGGACATTCATGAGAACGTCCACGTGCAGAAACTGAATCATATATCAATACACGTGACAATTTGCAATTATCTCAATGTCCTTTTAAGGCCCGTTTACACTTGCGATTTTTGAAGCGCGATGGTCGCGAGACAAACCTCAAATCGTACGTTTAAATAGCCCTGCGATTGTCACGGTGATCGAAAATCACCGTGAGTTGCAGCTAAATTACAAGCATGTTCGAAACTCAGACGATTGTCGCGGAAGATCGGCTGTATTTTCCAGATTAGTTATCTATTTAAATTAAAAATGATATGCACGAAAACTGTAAATTCTGTAAAGACTGGGATTGACGTCTTGACTTGCACACCAGTTGTCATGTTTACACTGATGGAAGGGGTTGTGTTGTTGTTTTTTTTTTTCACCTTTTCGGCACAACGAATTATCAGAATTGAAAAAGCGACTGCAAGGGAAATCGACCTGATGCCTTTTTTACTTTACAGATGCTGTGAAAGACAAGAAGAAGACAGTCAGACATTTTGTGGTTATATTCAACAATTTTCCCAACTTGAAAACAAAGGTGACAAAGGCGACAAGTGGTAACTTCCTTTTCTTGTTCATTACTGTCTGTTCATTTTGTGTGTGTGTGTTGGGGGGGGGGGGGGGGGGGGGGAGGGGAGGGGGTTCTAGAGTGTTTTAGCACAGTGATATCATAAAAAATTGGAGCACAATAGCATCGAATAAGTACTTACGCAATTCAAAGAAGTCTAGAACAAGTCTACTATGATCGCATCCTTGATGATAGACAAGGTTAACGTTTTCCCGAGCCAGTCCACCCTTTGGATGAACGCAAACATTGTTGACGATATTTTGAAGACTCTTTGATGGAAGCCTTGGAAAAATAATTGAAAGACATCGTCATAGGACTCATAGGTGCTCAATGGATGTCATTTTGTCCGCCTATTTGTTACCTTCTGTGCATAGAAACGTCTTTAGGACAAGCATCCAACAACAGAAGTAATCGACTATTAGATGGATAATTNGTTTCCTTTCTCTATATTTACATCCGCGATTAAACGTAACTATTCTAACTTTGCTTCAACGCCTTATATGATGCTATATTTTTTCTGTGTCGGGCGATTTCCCTATAAACACGGTGCTACTTTACGGTTTTTTCATCTGAATTCAACTGAGTTATTAAAGAATATACAAAAAGGAAAATGTTGTCCACCTATAATAAGACATTCCAATGTTCCAATTGCAATACTATCTATGAAAATATTCACTTTTGGTCCCTGTAAATCATCTAGAATGTCAGTTAAGAACAAAGCATTTTGAAAACATTATACGGACATTCATGAGAACGTCCACGTGCAGAAACTGAATCAATATCAATACACGTGACAATTGCAATTATGTCAATGTCCTTTTAAGTCCCCTTTACACTTGCGATTTTTGAAGCGCGATGGTCGCGCGACAAACCTCAAATCGTACGTGTAAATAGCCCTGCGATTGTCGCGGTGATCGATAATCACCATGAGTTGCAGCTAAATCACAAGCATGTTCGAAATTCAGACGATTGTCGCAGAAGATCGGCTGTATTTTCCTGATTAGTTATCTAAATTAAAAATGATATGCACGAAAACTGTAAATTCTGTAAAGACTGGGATTGACGTCTTGACTTTTGGGCACAACGAATTATCAGAATTGCAAAAGCGACTGCAAGGGAAATCGATCTGATGCCTTTTTTACTTTACGGATGCTGTGAAAGACAAGAAGAAGACAGTCAGCCATTTTGTGGTTATATTCAATTCTCCTAACTTGAAAACAAAGGTTCAAAGGTGACAAGTGGTAACTGCCTCTTTTTTATATTACAGGGAACTGCCATTTCTTGTTCATTATACATTTTGTGTGTGTTTGTGGGGGGGGGGGGGGGGGGGGAGAGATTCTAGGGTTCTAGAGTGTTTTAGCAATGATATCATAAAAAATTGGAGCACAATAGAGCGGATTTCGTATGAATGGGACACCGTTACCGCACGGTTACCGCACAGTTACCGGACCTGGCCTGCACAATTTTAGTGAACCAATGGGGCACTAGAATTTGGTTACAGTACGATTACGGTCACCGTACAGTACCGTCCGTTTCCCACTCATCCGCTCTAGCATCAATCAAGTACTTACGCAATTCAAAGAAGTCTAGAACAAGTCTACTCTGATCGCATCCGTGATGATAGACAAGGTTAACGTTTTCCAGAGCCCGTCCACCCTTTGGATGAACGCAAGCACTGTTGACGATATTTTGAAGACTCTTTGATGGAAGCCTTGGAAAAATAATTGAAAGACATCGTCATAGGACTCATAGGTGCTCAACGGATGTCATTTTGTCAACCTATTTGTTACCTTCTGTGCATAGAAACGTCTTTAGGACAAGCATCCAACAACAGAAGTAATCGACTATTAGATGGATAATTTCCTGAAGTAAGAATAAAGCATCTTTAATTTTGTGTTTTTTTTTATTTATTTATTTTTTATTTTACATNTGATTAACGGACTTTGAGAAAGTCTAATCTGTTGTTTATATTCCCGCTTGCAAACTCTGTTTATAATCATAAATGTAATAGTTTACCTTTAAMAATATCTGGTGGAGCAGCAGTAGCAACCTCAGATTTCGTTGTTTTCTTCTATTTGAACAAATGAAATCATGTAACATGATTTTCAGCTAATTCAAAAAACATTGAATACTGAAGATAGTGCACCACAACACCAAATCGACACTGAGAAGGACTATTTGTGACTTCGAAGTGACTATACTAGCCCCGTACAATCAAATGCTCCAATGGAAAGTCATTCCGTTGAGATTTGTTATTTTTTAACACAACTAAAGTGGGGTTTGATAAAGAAATTAGCGTTGTCTCTAGCTTGAAAAAACAAATTTAATGCAAACTTTTCGAACTGCGATCTTCTCTTCAGTGCAGTGGAAAAAAGTGGGGTGTAATAGCAGCAATGTAAAGCGGTCTTGGAATACACTATGCATGAACTTATGAAGTATTCAATATTTTTTGATGAAAAAATAGTATTAAATGAAAAGAACAACATTGGTCCATTAAAATAAGAAGCACTAATCAAAAGTTAATCACTGGAAAAAACTGCGCTGTAAATTTGAAGTAAAAATGATGTAGAAGTAATATTTACATGGTTTTGGACACTTACATAATATTTACATCACATTAATACACTTTTTACAAACGATGTAAATTCAATGAGAATATTGTGTAAATTAAACTTCAAATTTCCATGATTTTGGACATTTACAGGATATTTACAACCTTTGTAATTATTATAGATTGAATTTCCATTTCCATTAAACTAACAATCTTCAAGGAGCACGTTTTTTTTCCCATTGAATAGTGTTGATTAAACTATAGAAAGCAAAGGAATTTTACTAAAGTTCAGTACTAGTTTGCACTGTTTAATTTCACAGCTAAGTCTGTCGGCTCTAACACGTTTTGACTTTAGACTAGTGTCGAAGAAGCGCATTGGAAAATTTGAGGTAAAAAAATATGGTCGTGTGGCTGATGTCGCGGGAAAATCCAGAGGTTATTGTCATATCAATATGATTATACTTGTCATGACTGACCTTTAAGTCCACATAGACAAAACCTTGAGTCTGTCGAAGGTCGTTGATATGTAAGGTATGGTTGGCGTCGTTCAATTCACAAATCTTTGTTGCTGTTTCGTAATTGACGGTAAAACACCTTGCAATTTGAAATGGTAAAAAGACAATTAAATGAAATTTGTCAAAAAATCAAAGATTTGCTTCATCTTTTGATACTCTTTTCCCTCGTGCTTTTATTCAATTGAAATAATACTCCCATAAAAGGAGCGAAGATAATTTAACTCCCTTGGCGCTTTGCTACACAAAATGGCTTCATAGCACATTACCTTTATTGGGGACGTAAGGAGGGGGATGGGGATTGGGGGAAAAAAGCTTTTAATATCAGACTAAACTGATTTCGGACTCTACTTCTGATCTCCCTACCCCAAGTGAAATCTACATAAAATACATAACAGTGTCATGGAAATTGAAGAATGCAAATTCAAGAAATCGTTCTTCACAAGCACGGCACTTCGCTTATCAAACGCGTTCTAGAGCTGGCCAGTTCCCTTTTCTTACTCTCCATTGGTGCATATTCTTGTGTATTGCAGGAAGTGGAAAATATGCTTCTSGGCCGGGTTTTYCAAAGCCCGATTGGTGTTAATCCAGGGCTAACCCCATAGGTTTTATAAGAGTTAACCCAGGATTGCCGCTAATCGGGCTTTGAACAACCCGGCSCTGTGTGCAAATGAATTACTGATCGTCGAGATGGATCCMTTGTTGGCTTCATAACTTGKTTTTTGCAGTCTATCCGTTTTTCTAATAATTGATTAAAATGTTCATATTTCACTGCTACGATCACTTACATAATTATTCATTATAGTTAGCACCATGACTCATATCAAACAACTGGTTCGGAGAAAATTTCATTTGTTGCCAAACGTTTGCTAACAATTACCATATATGGTAATCTTACCTTATAAGGAAGTACGTTCGACAATTACTGCACGTTATTTTCCATCTTTTAGTACTTTTAAAATGGCTAAAACTTACAGAATTTGCAGAGAAAATACTTTTCAACATGTTGGCCATTATAAATTTGTCCTAGTCCCCTCTCAACCTTGAA